AGTCGGTCACGACTGATGTCATCAATGTGCGAAGCGCTTCCATCAAATTAAACATATTAATATCAATAGAAATTTGATCAACAAAATTAATTAAATTAAGACATTAGTATAATAAATTAATATAATAATAATAATAATAATAAATATAATAATAAATTAATATAATATAATAAATTTATTATTTATTATTTCAAGTGCCTCCATCAAATTAAACATATCAATATCAACAGAAATTTTATAAAAAATTATTAAAATCAATAAATTAGTATTATAAATTAATATAATAAAATTATTTATTATTTATTTAATATATTTATTTATTATATTAATAAATTAATATAATAAATTTATGTAAAAAGGATTATTATATAGCAATGCCAGTTCTTAGATTTGAACACGTGTACATTGACATTTCTATTACCGATAATAGAAATTAATAAATGAAATAAGTTTAAGAAAATTTTTCATAACATTAACAATTCACATTTATCGTCGTGAAACAATAACTTACTTTCACCATGATACCAGGTAGTGATTAATTTGCTTAATGCCAGTAAGCTAAAGTTGGCGGAAGCTAGATTCTCCACCACACGAGTCACGTTGCCCCAAGCACGAAGCACATTTGTCAACTGCGGCACGATTACGTAGAGAATCAAAATGCAGGCAATGATGATGAATCTTATATTTGGCCGGAAAATATTTAAAGAGACGTATGGATCGGGCCATGCGCCAAATAGCCGCAAACATTGGCGGCTCAGAGTAAACGCGTAACTCAAATCTATAAGAAATTCAAATTTTATAAGTAATATCTTATCACACTGATGTTAGTCGCAAAATATCTTTGTTTTGAAACATTTTCTTTTCTTATATATATGTACATTTATTCTTAATTATTTTTGCACGAATTTATGTACCGTTTGATTATTCTTATTACGAAATATTTTATAGCATAATTATAAATTTTCTTTACTTTAATAAAATTGAAACATTATAAAATGACAACACTAGACTTACACTCGATAAATAATAATGAACAGAAAGAAAAATATAATATATTTGTGAAAATATCGTTTTATATTTTTAATAATAATTTGTACTTCAAAAATACACTTTTCACATTTTTACATTTACAGTTTATGGCTTACGTTCTCGTAAGTTGAAACGTAAATTTTTTTTCGCAAGAGAGATTTCTGCAACGCTTGCATTTATCCTAATGTAAAATGTTTCAATTTTCCTACGATTTCCTAGAAATTAAACTTTTCTACAGCTCCATTTTTTACAAGAGGCAACAAAAAACGATTCGTGCACAACTCTATCATTGGATATTTTTTGCACTATGCAACTTTGCAACTCAAAACTATTTTTAATCTGCACTTCGATGATAAACACTTTTTGCTAGCCATAAAGTTGAATATCAACTCTGACAAACTTTCGTGGATCACGAAGTTTTATGAGTGATTCTATAGGCGACTACAATTAACCATATTTTTTGCGAGCATTTGTAATTGTTAAAAGCGAATTGTTCCTTTATTTAATAAATAATCTTTAGTTATATAATAATAATTATTATTATATATTATTTGCCCGCACATATTCTTTAATTAATAAATGTTTAATAAAAAATATGTTAAACAACCAGCACAAGATATAGTCACTTTAGTCGAAGAAATAAATTTTTGTTTGATTGACAAAACATATAAGCACACATATGTATATAATATAAATGAAATATTTTAAATATTTTAAATATGTTTAAATTAAACTTAATATAATTTAAAAATCAGAAGAGTATGAAATTAAAAAAATATTAGAGAAATAACAGATATTTTTTGATACATCTCTTGTAAAAAAACATAACATGTATCATATAAAACGTATTATTTCGTAACTCACACACTTTTCGCAAACACAAATGGTTAGAAATGTAATAAAAATTTATTTTTATCGAAACTTTTTATAGAAATTTATAGGGAAATTTAAAAAAGTCGATTATTGCACATACACATTATAATAAAAAATCTATGATTTTTATACTTTACTCTATCACCAATTATTTCACGCGAAACGATTAGATTTTTGTAGTAAATATAACGAAAAAATTTCTACCATTTTTCGAATACATATTCTACCTTTATTGACATTCATTGATGTGCACAGAGCGAAAATGATAGTTCGACTGAATCGCTCTTCCCGATTGTACTAAACCGCCGTGACTTTGCGCTTGCTCAGTATATGAAGGAAAAACCGTTACCATCTGTATGGATATCTCTTTAAACTTTTTCGGATAATCGATAATAATACCAGTAACACATAATCACCCATGAATCTCAGATGAATACTGAATACGAATATGCAATTTTTACTTTTTCACTATAAGTTAGTTACTTGCTAGCTTGTGAATATGAAGTGGTGAATATCTAGCGGCTGCTCAGGATCTGCAAAGAAATGCCACTAAAGCAACAATGATTCAAATTCAAATAGCATATGTATTTATGTAATATGAAATATTTACTTACATGACGTTGTACGAAAACAGAAATTAATATGAATACAAAGATTAAGAATTAAAACGTACAATCGAATGTGAAATAATTTTATGTGAAAAATTAATTTGAAGATGCAAAATAAGATATTTGTGTACAATATATATTTTGTTTTTCAGAGAATTAATTGTGAAAATTGAAAAAGTGTAATATATTTGGCTTTTTTAATTTTAAATATGACTATTAAAATAAACATAAAACAGTGCAATATTTTCTCTAATTTTATTTCAAAATTAAAATTTATGTTGATTTTTTTGTACAAAATTCTCTCTTATTTTTTAATAACGTATATTATTTTATATGGTTTTACTAAATAGAATCTTTATAAAAATAAATCTAAACGACAGATATGATACAAAGAGTTATTGAAGATTATTCAAACTTGAAATACGGAAATATGCTATTTATTTTCACAATTTTGAAACTAATATATTTAGAAATAAAATATGGATAAAATTTTCTCCTTCTCATTCTTTCGATTTATTTTGTTTGAATTAATTGTAAATTTAATATTAATAAAAATATTATAATTAACATAAATTAATGTCATAATCAATTTTTATACGGTTATCACGATGTATTTTTGGATTATATTCGATAATCTGTATATCTAATCGACACATTAATGATAACTCTATATTTATATATTAGTATCGCTCATATATATTATATTATTTCAATAATTTCTGATGTTATAATATATCATATTAAATTACATTTCGTTAGAAAAAAATTATTGGAGTAAAATACGTAGACGAGAAATGATACAAAAGCAAAGGACAAATGGAAATGTTTAGCAAAGTAGACTATTATTGTATTTGTTAAGAATTATTACTCTCTTATTTGCTTCAAAAAGACAAATACGTGCATACAGTAATATAATAAAATAAATAATTAATAAGAATCTTATGCTCTAAAAATTTAATTCAATCATCTTCTCAACTTATTTATAATTAAGACAGAAGTAAAATAAAAATAATGAATGTGACGCAAAAATATGTTTAGCAAATATTATATTGCATACAATTTATATAAATTTAGTCATTTAATTACTAGAAAATAACTAGTAGACAATTATGCGCAATTAGTTTGATTTTAATAATTTTAATTTTTTTCTACATATACTAACATATTAACTTCTCTATTTTCCATTTTGTCTTTTTTAACCATTTATTGTCGCCAACATGGATACGTATTTCATATTGCTACTTTCACCGACTAACGAAGTAAAAATAGAAAATAAACGTACTTAAGTTTTATTTTATTTTTATTGTAAAATAATAATATAATATAATCACATACACAAAATATGATATACAAGATGTCTCATAATTATATAATACTTCTTTCTCTTTAAAAACATCTTGTGCAGATTAATTAGGATTAATTAGAAAGTTCTACTGCTCGAACATATTGAGGCTTTATTAGTTTTTCTGAATAATAAATTGTCGAATTTTTCTAATAATGTACTGTCAAATTTACAATATCTTATCTTTCCAAGTTTAAATTTGAAGAGACAAATTTATCTTGGCTTTTATTGGAAATTAAACATTAATTTAATGTTATTATTATATTACTATTTATTATTTCTTTATTACAAAATTAATTATTTTTTAAAATAAATTAAATTAATTTAAATAGATTTATCCATTATTTTTATCGAAGAAAAAAATTTAATAATTTATTTTTATAATATAATTAAAATATACTAGTAATCATCTCTTGTCAGTTATAGCTATAATATCCGTCAATATCGGCCGAATAGTAAAAATCACTTAATTATTTTAATTGTCGAAATTAAAATTAAATGACAAATTATTATACACATGTGAGTTATGAATCTGAGAACGTGTGCAAATTAAATATTACATCAATCAGTCAACTTTAATTGACAAGAATACTGTGTAATCAACATTTTAGAATACTAAAATTTTTTATTTTAATTAATCTGTGCAATACTTAAAGTATTTTATACATACAATATATTTTAAGGTATATTTAGTATATCCAATACTATATAATATATTGTACAAATTTAATATTAGCAAATTGTAATGTGTTAATTTTGCTGTTCTAGCGCGTTAGAAAATTTTATAATTTTTTATTAACATTTTCATTAACATTTTCATTAACATTAAAATTTGAATTAACTTGATTGACTAATACTACTAATACTGAAAGCTAAATACTGAAGAATTTGAAGTGCCACTGAAAAAAATAAAGAGATCTGTAATTTTATTTCGTCGGTGATCAAGTTTTGGCTTGAATAACAATCTAACTTATAAAATAGTATCATTTTTGGTTTTTCGGAGAAAAAGAAAAAGCAATCTTCGATTTTTTCTAATTATCTCTTTAATTCTTTCAATACAAATGTAGGATAAATAAATAATTCGTTGCGCATAGATGTGTATTTGTTCAGCAAAAATCATGTTACAGGTGATACGTATAAATCTGTTTTTTAAATTATTAGAAAGCAAACAGTAACAATTATGCGCATTTAATTCGAGATATTATTTTTAATATTATTATCTTTAATCCTTTATTGCCAGCAGCGCAGATACGTATCCCATTGATGTTTTTATCGTCTAAATAGAATAAAAATCAAATATAGAATTGTTTTATTTTCGGAAATGAAGATAACAATATAATTTATTTGAAATATGGGTGAATATATTATGTATGTGTGAAATATATTGGTAATAAATATTTTTCCGCTTAATATTTTACATTTTTCTTGATATTTAACAATATATTTCACCTATGATATTCTACGACAATTTTCTGTCCAACATTTCATTGTCCAAAATATATTGCTATTCAATCAATTGTATTCTGTTTTTATATGTATAATGTCAAAGTGTATCTTTGTAAAATTATATGGCTGCAGTTACAATAGAATAAAGATTAGATTAGATTACATTAGTTGAAGTTATACATACATTAAATTGGAATTAAAATTAAAATTTGATGTAATAAATTATATTATTTGATATAATGAATTATGATTTAATCTAATGAACTCAAACATTGAAATATTAAAAGAGGAATTGAGACCAAATACTGAGAAATAATTCGAACCATAAAATATGTTAAAAATATATCAAAATTCGTCATAAACGATGAATTAACTTACACAAGAAATTACTGGACGAAAAAGTGTCGGATGATAAATTAATAAATGTTGGAAAAGTATTTATTAACTAAATATTATGTACGGAGTGCGTAGTGTTTTATTATTTTTTACATTTAAAATTTGTATTAATTTATGTTAAATGTTTTATTCTGTATTTTTATACGTTTAAATATATCATCATATCTCTAAAGTATATCAGAGATAGAATCTTTTTCTATTTTGATATCTTGAACTCAAATTAATGGTTTAAATCGAAAACATTGTGTATATTTAATGTAATATCAAAAATACTTTAAAAATAAGTGGCCAAACTTTGGGATTATTTTCTTTATTTTAAGAATGAAATACGTATAAATTCGGAAATACTTTTTCTGATTATATAAATACTTTTCATTTAAAAAAGAATTCGAAAACGTTTATTAAATATGTTGTACAGATATTATAAGATCTATTATCTATTATCTATTATCAGTTTTTTTGTTAAAAACATTTATTTATAAGGACAATATTTTATGATATTTGTGATATTATTATCGAAATATTTTGATATCACTTTATGCGACAAAATTTCAATCTATTGCAAGAACTATAAACATCTTTAGTAATTTTTCATGAAAATTGTTATAAAGTATTCATTACATTAGAAGGAAAACATTTTTAAAAATATTCTTAAATAATTTTTCTTGTTATAAACAAAAAAAAATTATAAAGAAGCATTTTTCTGAATGTTTTTATGTAATTATTTTCTTTCATTATTTAAGATTGATGGATGTAATATGCACTCTTCTGTAGTTTGGTTTCTCATTTCTAAAACACTCCTTGCATAATAAAAGCCGTAAAAAATATTTTTTATTTCATAAATTAAAAATAAATATTTCTATAATATGAATTACGCATATGCGAAAAACAAATGTATTTCTTATACTTATTGTCAGACACTTACTGTTCCGAACATTTCTATTGAAAAGACTCCAAATTTTCCAGCTGTTAATCTAAGCGGAATTGTAGATCCATACACGATAAACATTAAATCCTTTGCTTCTTTCACCGGTAGATCGTACCATTTGCATTCGTACACACCATACGCTATACCGGTGCTCTGAAATATCATTTTGGTTTTACACAAATTGCGTTATAATGCAAGAACTATATTACCTCCGTTATAAGTCTTTCAGCCGAATAGCAATAAGTATATAACTCAATCAACACTACAAAGACATAAAACAAGAGAAAACCTGCTTTCATAAGGGATATCTCTACATTGTCTGTTATCATCTGAAAATAATATACATTTCAGTTTAAATTTCAAATAATATAATAGTATAATAAGTATAATTATATAAAAGTAATAATATAATAGCGTATAATAGTATAATTATGCCTTAACATTACCCATATATGTTTCTTATATTTTTTCTTGTATCTTGTTTTAAATGTTTTTATTATAAGTTTTTACTGCAAATATTTAAGTAAAATGAATATAAATCATATTTTTATATAAGTAGTCTTACTTACTGTAAAAACTTGAAAAGTTTCAAGACATAGTTGAAAAGTAGCAGCTAGTATATGTATAAATAGCACTGGACTGTAACAACCATCGATTGTCTTGACATTCCTTAAAAAATTTTACATTACTTACACTTATAGTGTCACTTATTTATTAGAATTTTAATATATAAATACATAAATTTTACAACAATTTAATTATAATTTAAATAAGATAACTTAATTTTTTAATCTTTTGTAATAAGTTTCAATTTTTGACATTAAAAAACATATTATAAAACTTGAAAAAATATTTATTAAAAAGATATTTGTTTGTAAGTACAATATCATATATATATATATACACAGAAAAAACAGTATCCTTGAGAGAATGCAAATATGCCTTGATTCAAGTATATTTTATCCTTATAATAGCACCAAATATAAATAATTTTGAATAAAGGATAATTTATCCTTAAATTAAAGTGCAAAATATTCTTGGTTGAAGCTGAAATTTACTTATAAATATTGCAAGGACAAGTGACAAGTGTGTATCGGATATAAGCGGTACTTTCAAATAAATATAATAATTCTTAGTTCAAATGTGACTAAGTTTGTTTTTACCATATACTATTTTTAAAACAAGAATATATTTTAAGGATAAAATATACTTTACACAAACTTATTTATTATTAAGGCAAATGAAAATTTGTGATTACAAAGAGCATTCTATGCTTAAATCAATCAAATAGCGTTCAAGAATAAAAATATACTTGAATCAAGGATTCCTTTTTTTCTGTGTATATATATATATACATACTTCTTATAAGAAAAATTTTAAAAATGTTAAAATAATTATTAAATATTTCCTAAATAATGCTAATATAAATGCATTCTTATGAATACATCATATTATAATTAAAAGAACCTTCATACCTGATGAGATGTTGGTGTCGTATAGCAATCGTGCGTAGACCTCCCTTAAATCTCGAAGACGAAATAGATTTGTTGGCTAATTCGCCAACAAGGTTGTTAAGTGTCATTCGTAGATTTATTAGCTGTGCACACATGTGCAGCAAAAGTATCGAGACAAAGCAGTCCACCGTACAATTGATGATGCCCGTATATACGCCGCCGAAAAGTTGAATGATAAATGTGATTTCGTAGTTTGGACTCTTCTGACTGTTGTATGGATATGAATAACGATAGATGAGACTACGTTGCTGCAAGGGTAGGTTTCGATACAACTTCAATAGATTGAAACATAAATAAAGCGATATTGCACCCGTCACAGCCATGTAACATTTAAAGGCTAAACTTCTGCCGCGTCTCGCAATGTTCAACATTGTATCTCGTTCCCAAGAATTCGAGGTTCTCCAGTCGGTCACCACCGATGTCATCAATGTGCGAAGTGCTTCCATCAAATTAAACATATCAATATCAATAGAAATTTTATAAAAATATTAATAAAATTAATAAATTAGTATAATAAATTAATATAATAAAATTATTTATTATTTATTTAATATATGTATTTATATTATATTAATAAATTAATATAATAAATTTATGTAAAAAGTATTATTATATAGCAATGACAGTTCTTAGATTTGAACACGTGTACATTGACATTTCTATTACCGATAATAAAAATTAATAAATGAAATAAGTTTAAGAAAAATTTTCATAACATTAAAAATACACATTTATCGTTGTGAAACAATAACTTACTTTCACCATGATACCAAGTAGTGATTAATTTGCTTAATGCCAGTAAGCTAAAGTTGGCGGAGGCTAGATTCTCCACCACACGAGTCACGTTGCCCCAAGCACGAAACATATTTGTCAACTGCGGCACGATCACGTAGAGAATCAGGATGCAGGCAATGATGATGAATCTTATATTTGGCCGAGAAATATTCAAGGAGACTTGTGGATCGGGCCATGCGCCAAATAGCCGCAAACATTGGCGGCTCAGAGTAAACGCGTAACTCAAATCTATAAGAAATTCAAATTTTACAAGTAGTATCTTTTCACACTAATGTTAGGAAAATGTTTTTTTTTTGAAATGTCATCTTAAAACATTTTTTTTCTTAATTATTTATTAGCAAATTTATATACCGCTTGATTATTTTAATTACGAAATATTTTATAATTGTAAATTTTCTTCACTTTAATACAATTAAAACACTATAAAATGACAACTAACACTACTAACTAGACTTACACTCAATAAATAATAATGAACAGAAGGAAAAATATAATACTTATGTGAAAACACCGTTTTATATTTTTAATAATAATTTATACTTCAAAAATACACTTTTCACATTTTTACATTTACAGTTTATGGCTTACGTTCTCGTAAGTTAAAATGTAAATTTTTTTTGCAAGAGGGATTTCTGCAACGTTTGCATTTATTCTAATGTAAAATGTTTCAATTTTCCTACGATTTCCTAGAAATTAAACTTTTCTACAGCTCCATTTTTTACGAGAGGCAACAAAAAACGATTCGTGCACAACTCTATCATTGGATATTTTTTGCACTATGCAACTTTGCAACTCAAAACTATTTTTAATCTGCACTTCGATGATAAACACTTTTTGCTAGCCATAAAGTTGAATATCAACTCTGACAAACTTTCGTGGATCACGAAGTTTTATGAGTGATTCTATAGGCGACTACAATTAACCATATTTTTTGCGAGCATTTGTAATTGTTAAAAGCGAATTGTTCCTTTATTTAATAAATAATCTTTAGTTATATAATAATAATTATTATTATATATTATTTGCCCCCACATATTCTTTAATTAATAAATGTTTAATAAAAAATATGTTAAACAACCAGCACAAGATATAGTCACTTTAGTCGAAGAAATAATTTTTTTGTTTGATTGACAAAACATATAAGCACACATATGTATATAATATAAATGAAATATTTTAAATTAATATAATTTAAAAATTAGAAGAGTATAAAATTAAGAAAATATTAGAGAAATAACAGATATCTTTTGATACATCTCTTGTAAAAAAAAACATAACATGTATCATATAAAACGTATTATTTCGTAATTCACACACTTTTCGCAAACACAAATGGTTAGAAATGTAATAAAAATTTATTTTTACTCAAACTCTTTTATAGAAATTTAAAGGGAAATTTAAAAAAGTCGATTATTGCACATACACATTATAATAAAAAATCTATGATTTTTATACTTTACTGTATCACCAACTATTTCACGCAAAACGATTAGATTTTTGTAGTAAATATAACGAAAAAATTTCTACCATTTTTCGAATACATATTCTACCTTTATTGACATTCATTGATGTTCACAGAGCGAAAATGATAGTTAGACTGAATCGCTCTTCCCGATTGTACTAAACCGCCGTGACTATGCGCTTGCTCAGTATATGAAGGAAAAACCGCTACCATCTGTATGGATATCTCTTTAAACTTTTTCGGATAATCGATAATAATACCAGTAACACATAATCACCCATAAATCTCAAATGAATACTGAATACGAATATGCCATTTTTACTTTTCCATTATAAGTTAGTTACTTGCTAGCTTGTGAATATGAAGTGGTGAATATCTGTCGGTTGCTCAGGATCTGCAAAGAAATGTCACTAAAGCAACAATGATTCAAATTCAAATAGCATATGTATTTATGTAATATGAAATATTTACTTACATGACGTTGTACGAAAACAGAAATTAATATGAATACAAAGATTAAGAATTAAAACGTACAATACAATCGAATGTGAAATAATTTTATGTGCAAAAATAAATCGAAGATGCAATATAAGATATTTGTGTACAATATATACTTTGTTTTTCAGAGAATTAATTGTGAAAATTGAAAAAGTGTAATATATCTGGTTTTTTTAATTTTAATATGACTATTAAAATAAACATTATACAGTGCAATATTTTCTCTAATTTTATTTCAAAATTAAAATTTATGTTGATTTTTTTGTACAAAATTCTCTCTTGTTTTTTAATAACGTATATTATTATATATGGTTTTACTAAATAGAATCTTTATAAAAATAAATCTAAACGACAGATATGATACAAAGAGTTATTGAAGATTATTCAAACTTAAATTTCGAAAATATGTTATTTATTTTCACAATTTTGAAACTAATATATTTAGAAATAAAATATGGACATAATTTTCTTCTTTTCATTCTTTCGATTTATTTTGTCTGAATTAATTGTAAATTTAATATTAATAAAAATATTATAATTAATATAAATTAATGTCATAATCAATTTTTATACGGTTATCACGATGTATTTTTGGATTATATTCGAACATTCTGTATATCTAATCGACACATTAATGATAACTCTATATTTATATATTAGTATCGCTCATATATATTATTTCAATAACTTCTGATGTTATAATATATCATATTAAATTACATTTCGTTAGAAAAATATTATTCGAGTAAAATACGTAGACGAGAAATGATACAAAAGGAAAGGACAAATGGAAATGTTTAGCAATGTAGACTATTATTGTATTTGTTAAGAATTATTACTCTCTTATTCGCTTCAGAAAAACAAATACGTGCATACAGTAATATAGTAAAATAAATAATTAATAAGAATCTTATGCTCTAAAAATTTAATTCAATCATCTTCTCAACATATTTATAATTAAGACAGAAGTAAAAAGAAAATAATGAATGTGACCCAAAAATATGTTTAGAAAATATTATATCGCATACAATTTATATAAATTTAGTCATTTAATGACTAGAAAATAACTAGTAGACAATTATGCGCAATTAGTTTGATTTTAATAATTTTAATTTTTTTCTACATATACTAACATATTAACTTCTCTATTTTCCATTTTGTCTTTTTTAACCATTTATTGTCGCCAACATGGATACGTATTTCATATTGCTACTTTCACCGACTAACGAAGTAAAAATAGAAAATAAACGTTTTAAGTTTTATTTTATTTTTATTGTAAAATAATAATATAATATAATCACATACACAAAATATGATATACAAGATGTCTCATAATTATATAATACTTCTTTCTCTTTAAAAACATCTTGTGCAGATTAATTAGGATTAATTAGAAAGTTGTACTGCTCGAACATATTGAGGCTTTATTAGTTTTTCTGAATAATAAATTGTCGAATTTTTCTAATAATGTACTGTCAAATTTACAATATCTTATCTTTCCAAGTTTAAATTTGAAGAGACAAATTTATCTTGGCTTTTATTGGAAATTAAACATTAATTTAATGTTATTATTATATTACTATTTATTATTTCTTTATTACAAAATTAATTATTTTTTTAAATAAATTAAATTAATTTAAATAGATTTATCCATTATTTTTATCGAAGAAAAAAATTTAATAATTTATTTTTATAATATAATTAAAATATACTAGTAATCATCTCTTGTCAGTTATAGCTATAATATCTGTCAATATCGGCCGAATAGTAAAAATCACTTAATAATTTTAATTGTCGAAATTAAAATTAAATGACAAATTATTATACACATGTGAGTTATGAATCTGAGAACGTGTGCAAATTAAATATTACATCAATCAGTCAACTTTAATTGACAAGAATACTGTGTAATCAACATTTTAGAATACTAAAATTTTTTATTTTAATTAATCTGTGCAATACTTAAAGTATTACATACAATATATTTTAAGGTATATTTAGTATATCCAATACTATATAATATATTGTACAAATTTAATATTAGCAAATTGTAATGTGTTAATTTTGCTGTTCTAGCGCGTTTTATAATTTTTTATTAACATTTTCATTAACATTTTCATTAACATTAAAATTTGAATTAACTTGATTGACTAATACTACTAATACTGAAAGCTAAATACTGAAGAATTTGAAGTGCCACTGAAAAAAATAAAGAGATCTGTAATTTTATTTCGTCGGTGATCAAGTTTTGGCTTGAATAACAATCTAACTATTAAAACAGTATCAGTTTTGGTTTTTCGGAAAAAAAGAAGAAGCAATCTTTGCTTCTTTCTAATTATCTCTTTAATTTTTTCAATACATTGTCAGATGTAGGATAAATAAATAATTCGTTGCGCATAGATGTGTATTTTAAGCAAAAATCATGTTACAGGTGATACGTATAAACCTGTTTTTTAATTTATTAGAAAGCAAACAGTAACAATTATGCGCATTTAATTCGAGATATTATTTTTAATATTATTATTTTTAATCCTTTATTGCCAGCAGCGCAGATACGTATCCCATTGATGTTTTTATCGTCTAAACAGAATAAAAATCAAATATAGAATTGTTTTATTTTCAGAAATGAAGATAACAATATAATTTATTTGAAATATGGGTGAATATTTACTGTATTTTTACATTCAAAATTTGTATTAATTTATGTTAAATATCTTATTCTGTATTTTTATACGTTTAAATATATCATCATATCTCTAAAATATATCAGAAATAGAATCTTTTCTCTTTTGATATTTTGAACTCAAATTAATGGTTTAAATCGAAAACATTGTGTATATTTAATATAATATCAACAATACTTTAAAAATAAGTGGCCAAACTTTAGGATTATTTTCTTTATTTTAAGAATGAAGTACGTATAAATTCGGAAATACTTTTTCTGATTATATAATTACTTTTTATTTAAAAAAGAATTCAAAAACGTTCATTAAATGTGTTGTACAGATATTATAAGATTTATTATTTATTATCTATTATCAGTTTTTTTTGTTAAAAACATTTATTTATAAGGACAATATTTTTGATATTTGTGATACTATTATCGAAATATTTCGATATCACTTTATGCGACAAAATTTCAATCTATTGCAAGAACTATAAACATCTTTAGTAATTTTTCATGAAAATTGTTATAAAGTATTCATTACATTAGAAGGAAAACATTTTTAAAAATATTCTTAAATAATTTTTCTTGTTATAAACAAAAAAAAAATTATAAAGAAGCATTTTTCTGAATGTTTTTATGTAATTATTTTCTTTCATTATTTAAGATTGATGGATGTAAGATGTACTCTTCTGTAGTTTGGTTTCTCATTTCTAAAACATTTCTTGCATAATAAAAGCCGTATAAAATATTTTTTATTTTATAAATTAGAAAATAAATATTCCTGTAATATGAATTACGCATATGCGAAAAACAAATGTATTTCTTATACTTATTGTCAGACACTTACTGTTCCGAACATTTCTATTGAAAAGACTCCAAATTTTCCAGCTGTTAATCTAAGCGGAATTGTAGATCCATACACGATAAACATTAAATCCTTTGCTTCTTTCACCGGTAGATCGTACCATTTGCATTCGTACACACCATACGCTATACTGGTGCTCTGAAATTTCATTTTGGTTTTACACAAATTGCGTTATAATGCAAGAACTATATTACCTCCGTTATAAGTCTTTCAGCCGAATAGCAATAAGTATATAACTGAATCAACACTATAAAGACATAAAACAAGAGAAAACCCGCTTTCATAAGGGATATCTCTACATTGTCTGTTATCATCTGAAAATAATATACATTTTAGTTAAAATTTCAAATAATATGATAGTATAATAAGTATAATTATATAAAAGTAATAATATAATAGCAGATAAGAATATAATAGTGTATAATAGTATAATTATGCCTTAACATTACCCATATATGTTTTTTTTATTTTCTCTTGTATTTATTTTTAAATCAATCAAAATTAATATTGGACGTTAGTTGTGAAAATAAACTTGGCAAACTTGATTTCGATGTAATTAGCAATTTTTTCAATACTTTCACGACGTTTCGACCATTTGGTTGTGGTCCTCATCAAGTGAAAATTCCATCAATTAAAATGTTATTTTAATTGATGAAATTTTTATTTGACAAGGACCACAATCAAATGGTCGAAACGTCGTGAAAGTATTGAATAAAATTGCTAGTTACGTCGAAATCAAGTTTGCCAAGTCTATTTTTAAATGTTTTTATTATAAGTTTTTACTGCAAATATTTAAGTAAAATGAATATATATATCATACTTTTATATAAGTCGTCTTACTTACTGTATAAACTTGAAAAGTTTCAAGACACAATTGAAAAGTAGCAGCTATCATATGTATAAAGAGCACTGCACTGTAACAACCATCGATTGTCTTGACATTCCTTAAAAAAATTTTACGTTTTTTACACATATAGTGTCAATTTCTTATCAGAATTTTAATATATAAATACATAAATTATACAATAATTTAATTATAATTTAAATAAGATAACTTAATTTTTAATCTTTTGTATTAAGTTTTAATTTTCGACATTAAAAAACATATTATAAATCTTGAAAAAGTATTTACTAAAAAGATATTTGTTTGTAAGTGCAATACCATACATACTTCTTATAAGAAAAATAAAAAAAAATGCTGAAGTAATTATTAAATATTTCTTAAATAATGCTAATATAAATGCATTTTTATGATAATTAAAAGAACCTTCATACCTGATGAGATGTTGGTGTCGTATAGCAATCATGCTTAGACCTTCCTTATACTTCGAAAACGATATGGATTTGTTGGCTAATTCGTTAACGAGATTGTTGAGTGTTGTTCGTAGATTTATCAGCTGTGCACACATGTGCAGCAAAAGTATCGAGACAAAGCAGTCTATCGTACAATTGATGAGACCCGTATATACGCCGCCGAAAAGTTGAATGATAAATGTGATTTCGTAGTTTGGACTCTTCTGACTGTTGTATGGATATGAATAACGATAGACGAGACTACGTTGCTGCAAAGGTAGGTTTCGATACAACTTCAATAGATTGAAACATAAATAAATCGATAGTCCACTTGTCACAGCCATGTAACATTTAAAGGCTAAACTTCTGCCGCGTCTCGCTATGTTCAACATTGTATCTCGTTCCCAAGAATTCGAGGTTCTCCAGTCGGTCACGACCGATGTCATCAATGTGCGAAGTGCTTCCATCAAATTTAACATATTAATATCAATAGAAATTTTATCAAAAAATTAATAAAATTAATAAATTAGTATTATAAATTAATATAATAAAATTATTTATTATTTATTTAATATATGTATTTATTATATTAATAAATTAATATAATAAATTTATGTAAAAAGGATTATTATATAGCAATGACAGTTCTTAGATTTGAACACGTGTACATTGACATTTCTATTACCGATAATAGAAATTAATAAATGAAATAAGTTTAAGAAAAATTTACATAACATTAAAAATCCACATTTATCGTCGTGAAACAATAACTTACTTTCACCATGATACCAGGTAGTGATTAATTTGTTTAATGCCAGTAAGCTAAAGTTGGCGGAGGCTAGATTCTCCACCACACGAGTCACGTTGCCCCAAGCACGAAGCATATTTGTCAACTGCGGCACGATCACGTAGAGAATCAGGATGCAGGCAATGATGATGAATCTTATATTTGGCCGGAAAATATTCAAAGAGACGTATGGATCGGGCCATGCGCCAAATAGCCGCAAACATTGGCGGCTTAGAGTAAACGCGTAACTCAAATCTATAAGAAATTCAAATTTTACAAGTAGTATCTTTTTACACAAATGTTAGGAAAATGTCTTTCTTTTGAAACGTTATCTTGAAACATTTTTTTTCTTAATTATTTATTAACAAATTTATATACTGCTTGATTATTTTAATTACGAAGTATTTTATAATTGTAAATTTTCTTCACTTTAATACAATTAAAACACTATAAAATGACAACTAACACTACTAACTATGCTTACACTCGATAAATAATAATGAACGAAAGGAAGAATATAATATTTTTGTGAAAATAACGTTTTATATTTTTAATAATAATTTGTGCTTTAAAAATCCACTTTTTACAATTTTACATTTACAGTTTATGGCTTATATTTTCGTAGATTAAAATTTTTTTCCTGAGAGGGATTTCTGCAAAGTTTGCATTTATCGTCGCATCTGATGAAAAATGGTGTTTAATTTTGCTTCGATTTTGCATAGAAGTTAAACTTTTCTGCAACTTAATTTTCACGAGAGGTAACGGAAAACGATTCGCGCACAACTCTGTCATATGATATTTTTTTCACTATTCAACTTTGCAACGAAAACATTTTTCGTCTACGCTTCGACGGCAAACACTTTTTGCTAGCCATAAAGTTGAATATCAAACTTTGACAAACTTTCGCGGCACATGAAGTTTTATGAGTGATTCTATGTATAGACTACTGCAAGTAACCATAACTTTTTGCGAGCATTTGTAACTCGTAAGAGTGAACTGTTTCTTTATTTAATAAATAAGCTATAGTGATATAATTAATTAGTATTATGTATTATTTGGCCGCAAAGAATATGTTAAGTAACACAAACACAGGATATAATCACTTTAGTTGAAGAAATATGAAATTTTTATGATTGAAAAAATATATAAGTACACATCAAATAAAAATAAAATATTTTAAATTGCTAAAAAAATGTAATTAAATTAAAATAATTTAAAAATCAGAAGAGTATAAAAATATTAGAGAAAAACAACAGATATATCTTACTACATATCCCTTGTAAAAAAGCGTAACATGTATCACATAAAACGAACCATTTTGTAATTTACACACTTTTCGTAAACACAAATAGTTAGAAATTTACTGAAAATTAATTTTTACCGAAACTTTTTTCTAGAAATTTAAATAAAAATTTAAAAAAATCGATTATTGCACACACACGTTATAATAAAAAATCATAATCAAAGATTAAATTTTTAGTAGTACAATTCTAACGAATTTCCACCATTTTTCGGAAACATATTCTACCTTTATTGACATTCATTGATGTTCACAGAGCGAAAATGATAGTTGGACTGAATCGCTCTTCACAATTGTACTAAACCGCCGTGATTTTGCGCTTGCTCAGTCCTTCGTTGTATGAAGGTTTTGAAACCATTATACCATCTACGTACATCTCTTTAAACCCTTTCGAATAGCAATCGATAATAATACGAGTGACGTGTAATAATCGTGCGCTGAATCAAATACGATTATGAGCGAGTTGCTACCAGTCTTTCATTTCTGACAGTTGCTCAAAGTCTGCGAAGAGATGTCACTAAAGCAAGAGTGAGGCCAGGCTCAAGAAATACATATGGTAAGACATGTGTTGTAAAAAATATCGTTTATTCATCGATACTAGATCCTACGCGTAGAAAAATACAGAAATAAATATATTTTCGTGACAGACGCACCGATTAGAACGATGACTCTATCTACGAATCATTAAGATTCGCGTGTAAGGTTTTATTCACTTCTGCGATCTCAGCGCGTCGAATTGAATTACGTACGAAATAATTTATTCGGACGGAATTAGAAATGTGAGAGAAAATGATGGCGATAGGCGAGAATGTTTATCAAAGGAATTATTCCTTTGATATGTTAATTATTTTATTTTAATTTCTTGAAATTTGCAATTTAATATTTTTCTTATAAACTATAAAATATTTTATTATTTTTCAATTATATAATAATATTAGAAAAATCTTTTTCTAATAAAATATTTAATAACTATAAAATATTAAATTGCAAATTTAAAGAAATTAAAGTAAAATAATTAAAATATAAAAAGAATTATTATGATAATTATAAGATTTATAGAAAGTATACTATGAGATATGTGATAAACATTCGAAGGGTGCAGAGGAAAATTGCAATTATTATTAACAATTGCAAATTATTATTCCGCCAATCTTTCATTCTCTCTTTCTCTTTCTCCCTCCTAAATTCTATGCTTAATCATCTAAATTACAAGTATGTGTGCGTTTTAAATAAAATCGCCTCGGTGGCAAGTATGTACAGTTGTGGCTGTGTGCCGACTCGATGTGTTTGTAGAAAAAAAAACGCAATTATTCACCAAGTTTTTAATCGCAACAATTCTAAAAATTATTCAAAAATAATTTTTTACACATGACAATTTTTCTTTCGCGAATTCTAGACAGAGAACGCGTTAATCCTTCATTTATTTTAAAATATCGGCATCTTTGAACACAATTACATTTAAATTAATTGCGCATAAAGGATCCTCGTTTTCGACTGTCGAACATAGTTGAAGAATTCGGAGAACTCGTTGATATAATTATACAAAAATATTTCGTTACATGTTTCTCGATCAGTTTTGTGAATTGAAATGTTCACGAAGTAACTATTATTAAAACTATGATGAAAAAAATTGTAGTCGCGTGTGTCTAAAGGAATATATTGCCGGGTCTCGCCTGCGGGCACAAAAAGACGGAACAATCGTGCCTTCTGACAGCATTCATGACCTCCTCGAAGTGACTGGACACTTGGACAGCTGCCCCAGGCTGAATTCTGCAAGCACATGTAAACGATTAGATACAGAGTAGCGATAGGATCGTTAGAAAGTTGGAGACACACTTCGACAAATGATCGACACCGCGCGCGGGACTAATCGTTAATTAAGTGTGTGCACTAGATCGCGAATTCTTTAATCCATCGGCATTTCTTATCGCGTTCCATTAACGATCGTTCGCTCCAATTAACTCGCTTTCCTTACGGCGTACTAATTAAAAAATACAGAGTGATTCAAAAGTACGCCGCGCTTGAAGACATTAATTAAATAATTAGTTTTACTCATACAAATTATTGTGTATATTATATATTTACATATTATTACTCATACAAAATTCGGAAGAAAAATATTCCAAAGAAATCTGAAAATTTTTCAGAAATATATTTATGTAAAATGATTGTTAACAGAAAAATTTGATATTATTAGCGTGCTAATTAAAGAATACAGGGTGATTCAAAAGTACGCCGCGCTTGAAAACATTAATTAAATAATTATTTTAATAAATCTAGCAATTATATATATATATATCTTATTACTTATACAAAATTCGGAAGAAAAATATTCCAAAGAAATCTAAAAATTTTACAGAAATATATTTATGTAAAAATAATTGTTAACAGAAAAATTTGATATATATATATATTATGGCGTGCTAATTAAAGAATACAGGGTGATTCAAAAGTACCCCGCGCTTGAAGACACATTAATTAAATAATTATTAAAATAAATCTAGCAATTATATATTTTATTATTCATACAAAATTCGAAAGAAAAATATTCCAAAATAGTTATAAAAATAATTGTTAACAGAAAAATTTGATATATATATTTATGAAAGGAAATATATCGCAATTTTTGCTATTTTTAAGAACGCAATTTGTCTCACAAATTCTCGTCACGTATGTGAAAAATTCTTACTTGGAAATAGCGTACACTTACAACATGATATAACGTTGTTCTCTCGTCAGACACGTGTGTTTGCAATGAATCGAATTGAATAATGGAGTTTCGCATGGTTGTCGACGCAGGAAATGGCTCGTTAAATGCCATATATTTGTCATTAAAAGCCTATTCACGCATAAGAAACGTGCGTGAATTTAATTTCTCTCATTTTACTTTGAATTTATCTTAAGTAATATACTCGTCAATACGATCTTTCTCGAGCAGAAAAATTATTTGATTTGTATAAAAATATTTGCTATTTTTACAACGCAGAAAACAACGTAGAAATAATTTAAGTACAAAAATATGCAACCGTACAAAAACACATATATACACTAAAAAAAGTTGTTAATTTGACTAAACCTTTCAACTAAATTACTATTTTATTAATTGAACACATATTAGTATTTAAGTCAAATATACGTTTTGTTAAATTTATATTATGTTATATTTAATTTAAATATTTTTAAGTTTAATTGGCCTACAATATTTACCTTTTTTTAAATTTTGTTAATTTATACGAGCCTTTCATTAATTAATTTTAAATATTTTTATATGTTCAATTAATAAAATAAAAATAATATTTAATTGAAAGATTTAGTCAAGTAAACAACTTTTTTTTCAGTGCACGCATATATACATACATTATTTACTAATTAATTAACTCATTAACGTGTTACGAATATTTGTATAGCAAAACGCGATGGAGAAAGTATTATATCTTATATATTATATAAAATAAATGATTTGAAATAACATGATATATTATGACATAATAAGACTGTCGACAAATAATTACATCAAAAAGCAATTTAATCCAATTGGAGAGAATTGCAAATGTGCAATTGAGTGAATTAAATTGGCTGAACAGATCAGAGTTTTCTCTGATAGCGTCTTTCCTGCTTTTTCTCTTTTTCTATAACGTGTGTCTGCATTTTTCTCTCTCTTACTCTCTCTAGGATTCTTTGCTATCGCGCGTGGCCCGACACGATGTCGGAGACAGGGCGCAGTATGTGCATACAGTGAAACTGTGCTAAGAGGTAAAAGTCGAATCAGTCAGTAGGACGTCGCCGGCGAAAGCTGGAAGAAAGTTATACACAGACTCTATAGTTCCGTTCGACCGGCTGTTATCGGTGCCCGTTGAAATCCCGATAATTCGCGATATAGTTCAATCGCTCGTACGATCCCATACAGCACAAAATATTATGAGTTTCCAAAAAATATTTCTAAAAAACATTTCTATAAAATATTGCATACAAACATTTTAAAATGATTTAACAATTTTTTGGAATAACATTTTTTAGAATATTTTAAAAAATATTTTTAAAAATGTTCTTCTTTTTATCGCTCAGATAATATTTTCTTAAATATATGATACATATTTTTGAAATATTAGTTTAAATCTGTATTCAAAAATATTTTTTAAACACGAAAAAGCGGACATAGAAACATTTGAAAAATATTTTCGAGAATTATTTTATTTTTCAAGAAAATATTTTGTGCTGTATGGGATTTTATGAGGATAAAAACAACTGCAAAAAACAACAAAATTTCTTCGCTACGCTTCCGATTCGTTTTCAGCCAACGCAATGTCAATAAAAATGGAACATATATATGCTTCGTTAAACAATAAACTAAATTGTCATACACTTGTCTCAACATAAGGATTATATTATTTCTAATAATCAAGAATAAAAATTGCAGTTATTATTGTCAGATTTTTTTTCAACTAGAATGATATAAAATAGAATAATAATATTTATGATAATTATATTTTTTCTCATTGAATTTCTTCATTTTTTTTATATCACTTTATTTCTAACCATATAATTTTCTTTTTTAAAAATATTTTATATATTATTTATATATTTAAAATATTTAAAATATATTTTGTATATTAATATAAAATAATATTGTTAAAAAAGAAAATTATCGTATTATATTATTAAAAATAAAATAATGTAATGAAATTAAACGAGAAAAATATAATTTGACAATAATTCAATATCTCGAAAATCTGAAATAAATAAAAAGTGAATATAAAAGAATAGTGAATAATTAATTTAATTCAACACTGCATGACGACATCAATTTTTTTCTTTCATTATGCAATATGTTTTTCAATTTCAAATAATCTATTAAATTCACATAATTAAACCTATCTGTAAAATTTTTAATTCGAGTGAAAAATGTTCGTGTAGAAATGTTTCTATCTCTGTTGAGAACGGAAACATAATAATAGTGTCGAAAGTACTCACAATCTTAATAACGCTGTCATCTTCTAAAAAAGTATTAATTTAATTTAATTAATTTAATTCAACACTGCATGACGACATCAATTTTTTTCTTTCATTATGCAATATGTTTTTCAATTTCAAATAATCTATTAAATTCACATAATTAAACCTATCTGTAAAACTCTTTAATTCGAGTGAAAAATGTTCGTGTAGAAATGTTTCTATCTCTGTTGAGAACGGAAACATAATAATAGTGTCGAAAGTACTCACAATCTTAATAACGCTGTCATCTTCTTCTCCATAAGCATCGAGGCGTCGGATCCTCTTTGGAGCAACGCGTCGCAAAATATCCTCTTCGCGCAAGGCGTGTTCGTCCAATCGCCCTGTATGTGAGCAACTTCGGCGACTTCCGCATTCTCCAAATTCTGCAACACATCCAGGAGCTCCTGATCGCTCTCCTGAACGTTGCGTTTTCGCCTCCTCTCTCCTTCATCCTTATTCAAGAAGTCCACATCGAACTTTCTGATGCTCATCTCTTCCCTCTCGAGATCTCTCCCGAGAATTCGCGATTTGTCGTCCAGCACGAGGAAAGCGGCATCGACATCGTCTCTTCGTGCACCAACCTCTTTCGAATCCTGCAAATTATCGATGACATCCCCAACAATTTTCGCGTTGCTCTCCAGCGCGTTTTGATCCGACACGTCCACCTTAAGATTCTCCAACCTCGTCCTGTCATTATCGACACTCAGGATGGTATTTTCATTCGAATGTCTCTCCTCGTTCCTCTTCCTCGGGATCAGGAATTCGGTGATATCAATGCGACCCGGACCAGCAGGCAGGTCGATCTCGACGATCTCGCTGATGGAATCGGCTCCTTTCCTCTGAAAACGCTTGCTGCGCACCAGATTTCTCATGTCAGCATCCTCCGTCTTAAATACGTCCAGATAATCGAGGCTCCTCTTCCTTCGCTCCTTGGTCTCGACATAATCCGCTTCGTCCACCATCTGCCTGCTCTCTCGATTCTCGATCCTCTCGGCATTCCGCTTATCCTCGTCCTCCAGGATCAAGAAGACCCCATCACTTTCCACCGAACCGGTATTCTCGTCTCCCACTTTGTCCTGAGCGACGTCCCGTAAAACGTACATGGCAGGAGCCGCCGCCTGGTTCGACCTTGAACTCCCGTCCTCGATCGACGCCAAGTATGCTCCAGCTTCCAGGGCTCGCTTGTGCTCGAGATCGAGATCGGCGACGTCCACGCCCGATCGTTTCAGGACGTCGACGTCGAGGTATCGACCGACCGCGACGGCGCCTATTCCGAGGGCGGCTCCGGACGCGACGAGACCGAGAGCAGGTATCAGGATGCTGGTCCCGGAAGTGATCGTGTCGATTTTATCCTGGGCCTCCTTGCCCCGGTTAGAGAGACCCAGGTTCTGCGAGATCTTGTGGGTGGCCTCCACTAAAGGATCGATCACCGGCCTGGTGAACTGCGAGACTCTCTCGACCCCGGTGGAGAACTGATTCTTCAGGTTCTCGGAGATCTTCACCCAGAACGGCGGCTCGCTCGGTCGTTTCAGGCCGTAGAAGTGCTGATTCGGGTAGTAGTTCTTCGTCGTGTAGCTGTCGACGATGCTCTTGTCGTTCAGCACGTATTTCTTCTTGTAACGTTGCTCGGTGAACGAGTGTTGGCTCTCCGGGAAATTGTCGGGCCGGCGTTTCTCGTTCTTCAGGATCTTGGCGGGTTGCACACCCAGTTCGGGATGAGCGTATTGGAGAACCGGGGCTCGAGCGCCGGGTTTCAGGGCTACGGGCGCGATCGTCTGGCTCTCGGGAGTGTAACGTTGAGAGATGGGATAAGTCGCGATGCTATCCGGATGGAGCATTCGCTTGTGAACGCTCGCGCGGTAATGATCGTTGCGCGGCTCGTACACCTCGGCTTTCAGAGCTTCGCTCTTGTAATTTCTAGGGTCCCACTCGAAGTATACGTTGCTACGGCCCTCTTCCTCGTAATTGCGTCCATATCTGATGAAAAAAAGGAGATCAAAGAAAACGTTCCAAAGTATCTTTAGTAACTGAATAATGATTTTGATAAGTTAGGGAGATCGGATAATTCGTCATTCGAATGCAGCATCCTCTTAGAAAAGCTCGCGTAGATTTATCATTTCAATTTTTTTAAAATAAAAAATACCATTTTTTCTTCTTCGTCTTTTCTTCTTATTTTATAAATAAAAAATGCGATTTTTTTATTTATGAAAGAAGAAGGAAAGAGAGAAGAAGAAGAAAAAGAAGAAGAAAATTATTAATTTTTTATTTACGAAATAAGAAGAAAATTATTAATAAGAGGAAAGATATAATTACATTCTAATTATATTTTTTTTTATTAATTATTTTCTTTTTTCATAAATAAAAAGTTAATAATGTTCTTCTTCTTCTTTATCTTCTTCTTTTTTTTTTATTTTCTTTTTCTTTTCTTTCTTCTTCTTTTTCTTTTCTTTCTTCTTCTTTTTCTTTTCTTTCTTCTTCGTCTTTTTTTCTTATTTCATAAATAAAAAATGCGATTTTTTTATTTATGAAAGAAGAAGGAAAGAGAGAAGAAGAAGAAAAGAAGAAGAAAATTATTAATTTTTATTTACAAAAAAAGAAGAAAATTATTAATAAGAGGAAAGATATAATTACATTCTAATTATATTTTTCTTTTTATTAATTATTTTCTTTTTCGTAAATAAAAAGTTAATAATGTTCTTCTTCTTCTTTTTCTTCTTCTTTTCCTTTTTTTTCTTAGAAGAAAGAAGAAAGAAACGAGAGAAAAATATAATTAGAATAATAAATAACTTTTTAAAATCTTCTCCTTAATATCTAAACAATTTTGTCCTTACCTTCTATTGATATCTTTGAAGAACTTATCAAATTTCTGCTTCTTCTCGACATTATCTGGATAAGGCTCGATGGAGGATCCTACAGTGCTCCCTTCGAAAGTTATCAATTTATTATTGATAATCCGAGCGTTTCGCCAAGTTTGCACCTTGTCGATGGGTTCGTCAGGTACTCTCGTGCCATGGATCACCGGAGTACCATCGATATCCAGCGACATAGGCGATCTCTTCGGCGTAGTCTTCACGTTAATCTCCGATCGTACGATCACTTCCGCCGGTACAGTTTTGCCACTTCGATTTTTCGACAGATTCGCCCCGATATTCGTTCTCGTGGACGGACGTGGCACGTAGGTGTAGAGCGATCGCTCGTTCTTACTGCTGTCGCGTGAATCAAAATTCGTCTGGGTCCGATCTTGGAAGTTTCTGGCGAACAGAATTGCGCCGGTGCCGATTCCACCTTCGTCGCTTCTCTCCTCCATCGTCTTTGAATTCGTCCGCAACGGTTTCCAACTTTGATACTCTTCTTCTTCTATTTGTTCTATTTGTTTCAGAGCTCTCCCATCCGCGTTTAGCGGAGTCCATTTCCCGTAATCGATCGATCCGATCGGTTGAGCCTTCTCGGACACCGATTTCGCCGCGGTTTGATTGACGTCCGACTTCTCGTCCTTCGACAATCCGGAAACTGTAGCTTTTATCTGCGCCACTTGAGCTTCCTCGAGCCTTCGCGCGTCGTTTTTCTTGCTGATCTCGCTTCTGTCGTCGTTAAGTTTCGATTCATTTCGCGTACTCGAATCATTTTTATTCTCCGCGGTGACGTTCGATTCCGCAGATTTTGGCGCGAGCTTTGAATCGTCCAAGGACGATTTGTCTCGTCGCTTGACGATCAAAGTGGCTAAGTTGCCCTCGCTCGTTCGTACTTGTAACTCTTCCGTCTCGCCCGGGAGACTTCGAGATACCTTCAACATCGTCCTGGTGTAGCTCGGCTTAGGTAGCTCGTCATTGCACGTGCCGAGCGTCAAGACGACGAAGAATATAAGAGAGATAATCTGGAAAAAAATCAAATTTAATATAATACTTTTCTCAGATTTCTGTGTTTCTAAAATTATATTTTTTAGCGATTTTATTATTTAATTTATTTAATTTTTTTAGCGTAGTTATCATTGTGTGTTGATTTGATTTTTTAAATTAATGTTGAATATCATAAATACAGAGTAGCAAACTAATTAAGACCGTTTGTTGTTAAATATCGTTAGATATTAAATATTTTAAAATATATGTTACGGTCCTTTCGAATCATCTTCAGCAACTGTCAGATAAAATAAATCTTACGAGAATTACCTGGATTATTGACTTAAATTAAAAATATTTTTAATACATGAAAAATGCATAATAATAATTGATTTAATCATAATAAATTAATCTTAATCAATAATTCTCAAATGTATGACAGAAATTATTAATCATTTTCTTCCTCTTTCTCTTTTTCCTTTTTTCCTTCTTCTTTCATAAAAAAATCGTATTTTTTTATTTATAAAAATAAGAAGAAAAAAGAAGAAGAAGATAAAGAAGAAGAAGAAAATTATTAATTTTTTATTTACGAAAAAAAGAAGAAAATGATTGAAGAGTTAAGAGACTTTGACTTCAGATCTATGCAAGATTGCGAAATCTTCTCGAATTTGCGATCAGTCTCGATTGTTTGCAAATTTTCGTGCACAGACATGACGCGATGATGCACTTCATTCGGAGCTAATGATATCGCGTCGGTGATGATGATTCCACGTTGCGTACACGCTCGAAGAGCAAGACGACCGGAATGTGCAATGAGTTTAAGAAAAGGTTTTCGAAAGCCGACCTTACATCGAGTTTCTAGAGATTCGTTTGCAAATTGCACGCGTCGCATTTACGACGAAGTACTTTGCCGAGGTGACGTAACACATCCAGGAGGATTACGAAGTCGTTGCTATGAACTGTCGTACGCGGAATGAAAAAAGGAGACGGTCGATAATATTCGTAATATTCCGGAGCGATATCCAGCAGATTGAAGATCATCATCAGAACAAGGTAATTGCCGCGGCGATGAGAGAAATTTAATAGCTCGCCGAGAGAGATTGCCGGCACATTCTTTCCCGGGATTAGAAAATAGCGGAGTAGTATGTAGTAATCGCTCGCGAACGCGATGGGTTACTTTCTATTATAAAACGTGACGGATTACCCTGACGCTGATTGGAATTACGCGCACCTGTCGCATCGCGTGATCTCGCGTCGACTTAAATTCGCAGCTGACTCATTATATGTTATAAAATCCCGGCGTATCGAAAGTAAGTGACAGAAGTGTAACGAGATACGTATCTCGCGAAGAATTGCACAGACATATTATTGACATATAGGGAGAAAAGAATCTTTTAAAAATCGACAAATCACACAGGCGTTCAATTTTCAATTTACATGTCATTGAAATTTTCTGTGAACATTATTATTATATTTTTAATAATGACCGTTTAAAATTCCCGTTAACGAGAAAACGACTCGAGTGTGTGCACAGTAAGGTTTCGTGAGTGGTGGAAAAAAATACTTTCTAATCGCACGCTTATACACGCGCAAAAAGCGAGTAAAATGAAATAAAATCGTGAAAGGTGGTCGTGGACCGTCGACAAGTGAAATGGAACGACATGCTTTCCCCGTGCACGCGTTTTACGTCTGTACGTCTTCCATCTCGTAAATACGTACAAACAATGTGTCAGAATTCATAGAATTGGCGCACCATCTGCTAATGATACGGTCTCGAGTTGGAGATCAAAATCCTAGTATCAAGAGATATTGAGACTTTAATAAGTTTGGAAAGCGTTCAAGTTTTTGCCAATTAGGCTCTGCTCACATTTCTCAAATTTCATCTATTAATTTATTTTTAAATATCGACATTATTTTATAAAATTTTAATACAAAATTTCACGCTAAAACGATGCATCGAGCTGTCAAAGCAATTCACATCAAATTTGTAATACAAGAGAAGAATAATTGATAGTTGATAATTAATAGTTCACAGAGATGTTGTCTTTCTTACGGTATAAATGTTTTAATAAATAATTCTTACAAGAAAATTAAGATTAAAGATTGAGAAAATTAATTTAATTATATTCTATCTTATGTGAGATTTTATGCGTTTTAATGTTAATATTTCATATTTTTGTATTATTATTATTATATATAGTATTGTCAGCAAAGACAGATTAATTAGTCCGATTTGTAATGATATTAGCATTTAAAAATAGACCAACATTTCAGAATATTGTATATGTATATAAAAGTGGGAATATACTTTTGAGCAAAAAAATCTGTGATTTTTTTAGTCAACTTTAAACGTCCTGCCTTTAATTAAAAAAACTGTTACAGCCTCGATATTTTGAAATTAGCCTTTTTACCTCCAAATGACTTCAACAATCTGTCATTAGCAGATGGTGCGTCAACAATTCTGCGATATTCTGTATATACACCAACGCAAGGCGATCGATTATTTCCATGCCAGTGCCTTTCAATTGCCAATATCATCGATGCTTGACACGATCAATAAACATGAGAGAAAATTGAGGTTGAAGATAGGAATAAAATTTCAATTGGGCAGCTTTTAAAAAATCTCACCGATCGAACGCAACAATTAAATGAAGAAAAAAAATTGCATTGTTTACGGTACAATTTTTTCCGCGCGCTCAAGGAATTCTAATTTAATTTAATTTAATTGTCTAGGTACCATGTCACGAAATGTCGGCCAGTTGATTCTCCTCGCCGGAGCGAACGGTACGCATTAAAGTGCGGCGGAAAATATACGTGGATGCACAATGATATACCGCAGACCAGAGGTTTCCGCTCCAGAAAATTCGCGAGTCGACATTAATTGCCTGGCAATTAAGCCGATCTAGTTTTTTTTTTGTCATCCGATGTCCGTCTAGCTGTCTGTCTGCGGTTCGCTCGTTCGGAAATGTCCGCGGCTTCGATCTCGCGAAGGTCGACTCTCGTGACGCGTGCCCGATCGATTATTCGCGCGCGAGATGATCGAGATTAACCGCGGAATCGTTCACGCTTCGTTATTGCACCGCGATCGTGAACGGAGATAAGCCGGCGCGTGCATATAATGTATATATTTACGTAACTGACGGAAGCGTGAGGACTTCTTACGACTTAATTAATCACGCGGCGCGTTACGGCGGTCTTATTTAGGATCTCCCATTCATGAAGGAAGAGAGATCGAACGGGAGATCATTAACATCCTTTCGCGTGGAAGTTGGATGTCCCGTGGAATTATATAGATAATTGTCGGAGCAATTATGCGGGACGGTTAATTGAACCGTGAGAGAAGCACTTCTGCTTCCGCGGATAGAGGTATTGATTTATTATGTATTTATCAAGATTTTGCAGATTTAATTATCATATTTAATTTCATATTTAATATTTTCTTATTTTTAAAATAAAAATTATTTATTGATGATTATGTATCATTTTCTCATGATGATGTGATTACTTTGACAGTTCCAATGATGTTCAAATTTTGTAATATTTTTATGCTGTAAAATAACAGTCGATATTATAAATATTTAATAATCAAGAATGCGCTGATTTATCTCGAGGGAAAAATGATAACGCAGAACCTGTCAAAAAATGAAAATTCGCTCTTCTTAAACCACAGGATGTGAACTTTTAAATTGCGAATTTTCTGCAAAAATCACACACATCATCTCGCAGATTTTTATTCGGATATTTAATCTGATTGATAAAATGCAAATTACCTGACATCTCCTCATCGTCGTCATATTTCCTGCGGATCTCCTTCTCTAGCAACGTCCGAGAGAAATAAAAAAAGACAAAAATGACAGGACGACACGAGAGGACTCTTCCTCAGGATCTCATGTTCCTGGCGAAAAATCACCGATATTATCGTCTCGTCGGCGAACTGTCAGATTTCTTGGCGAGGTAGACGAAAGGGAAGAGACGAGAAAAGAGAAGAAGAGACAGAGGAGACGGACGTCTCTCCACGGAGGGCCTGCTCCTACAAACACCTGTTAACTCCCGGGATATCCTCGCGAGACTGACTGAGACTCGCTCAACCAGCGGCCGACCGACGTAGGAGCGAGGCTTCTCTCCGACCTACTTCTCGCGCTCGTCTTCGCCTTCTTCCGTCGTGGTGGCACGAGACGAGTCTCCGCTAAACCCTTCCGCGAGAGCGAGTCCTTTTTCGATTGTTCAATAATCGCCAGATCAAGAGGAAACGCATCCGGGGACGAAATTATTTACCAAAAAAATTATTTACTGATTTTCTTGTTGACAAATAGTGCGTCTAACATTTAAACTGAGAAACGAAAAATTTGCATAAAAATTGCACATTCAAAATATCAGTCTTCTTCCTTTATATTTTTATATATTATAATAATATAAATGAAGTATGACAAATATTAATAAAATAAAAAATATGCTTTTTTTCGGGATTTTTTAAAAAAATTTATATATTTAATTCAATGATTTGTATATGTTCATAATAATTATAAATTATTAATATATATATGATTATTTATAATATAAATTATAATATTATAATTATAATAATATATATGTATATATATAAATATATACATTTTTTTTTTAAATCCCGAAAAAAAGCATATTTTCTATTTTATTAATATTTGTCATACTTCATTTATATTATTATAATATATAAAAATATAAAGAAAGAAGACTGATATTTTGAATGTGCAATTTTTATGCAAATTTTTCGCTTCTCAGTTTAAATGTCAGACGCACTATTTGTCAACAAGAAAATTGGTAAATAATTTTTTTTAGAGAACACTACTTATATAAAACAACGAAAATATTTTTCTAGTGGAATAGATAGTTAAATAAATAAATAGACAGAAAAAATGACCATCAGCTGAGAAATAAGAAAGCCACGCGTTTTTTCGCGAATAAATTTTTGTTTACACCGTGGCGAATTTAATTTGTAGAATAAATGCGATACTTCCGTTTGTTCCAATTACTCGGCCGTTGTAAGAAGAATTTGCACATCCAGGACGACGTTTGGGCCGCGTCATTACATCTTTATCTCCTGTGTTTCTTCTCTCCTCTGAATACTTTCTCGGTAACTCATATATTTCGCGCTTCATTTCTCAACTTTGCACCGCTTTCATTTCGTGTTGCTCTTGAATTCGTCGAATACCCAACATCAGATTTCCAAATACGAAATTTCTTTGTATAACGGTATCCTTGAATTCATGGTCTATGAATTTGTATAAGTTTCCTTTTCAAATGTGTCTTGAAATTATAAATATTTACGATTTCAAATTTTGATCCTCTAAATCTCTCGGACGTTTCAATTTTTTTTTACACAATTCCTGGGGTCTTATTAATCTCCGGTTTCTTCTTTCTGAAAGAATTTTGTTTATAGAACACTATATAACACTTTCATTTAATTCACTAAGGTTTACGTATACGCGAATTAAACACAACGACCGCATTTTCCAGCAACTGTTACCGGTGAAGTTCTATCCCTAAATTAATTCATGATGAGTCTCGTCGTGGAGATATCATCGTCTTAATTGCGATCCCGACTTAAACAGAATGGAAACAAAAGAATAGATAGACATTTCACGGTGATTTTCTCAATAAGAGCACCATTATCTCGTTTCGCCTGCTGTTTCAAGTACTTTTAATTTTCTATCTAACATACAATTTTTAATTTGCGTATAAGATAAATACTATTTACAATTATATAATTAATTATAAAAATTAATATAAGTATTAAAAAAATTTAATTAATAATTTATTAATAAAATCAGATAAGAAATATTTTGTCGGCTCTCAATATTAAATAATAATAATATATGATATTTTTAAATCGGCTAATAGAGCCCAAATTTATTAATAATTTATTTTTTTTATTTATAATTTTATTTTTGTTGCATTATTTTATAAAAAAAAATGTAGATATTTGAGAATCGCCAGACAGAATTTAAAAAAAAAGTAAGACTCTTCTCTCGACCGTACTGGCAAATATTATTTATTAAATCACAATGATTTATCATTGTGATTTAATAAATAATATTTGCCAGTCGAGAGAAGTCAGAATTAAAAAAAAAAAAAAAAAAAGAGCCCAAATTTATTAATAATTTATTTTTTTATTTATAATTTTATTTTTGTTGCATTATTTTATAAAAAAGAAAATTTAGATATTTGAGAATCGCCAGACAGAATTAAAAAAAAAGTAAGACTTTTCTCTCGACCGTACTGGCAAATATTATTTATTAAATCACAATAATTTATCATTGTGATTTAATAAATAATATTTGCCAGTACGGTCGAGAGAAGAGTCTTACTTAAAAAAAAAAAAGAGCCCAAATTTATTAATAATTTATTTTTTTATTTATAATTTTATTTTTGTTGCATTATTTTATAAAAAAAAAATTTAGATATTTGAGAATCGCCAGACAGAATTTAAAAAAAAGGTAAGACTCTTCTCTCGACCGTACTGGCAAATATTATTTATTAAATCACAATATTTATTATTAAATTACAATAATAAATTATTGTGATTTAATAAATAATATTTGCCAGTACGGTCGAGAGAAGAGTCTTAATTAAAAAAAAAAAAAAAATTATTTAGATCGAGAGAATCGTCTTCTTTTTTGTGTAGGTACTTACGGATGAAAAAAATCTCACGCGTGAAACACGCGGTTGCTCACTTCCGCTATATTTGAAATGACTACTCATCAGAAAAGTCGCGGAACCGCACGCGTTTATTTCCCGGAGTCTTATTGTTCGCATGCGACATTATTTCTTTAATTGTCGCCCATACACACACAGATTGTTATCGGCGAAATTCCAGAGGCGCGCGAAACTTGGTTCGCAGCCGGTTGAATTTTCAAGTTCACGAACGATTCGTTCGAAGCGTACCGGAAGAGGCGTTATTTCTTCGTGAGAGGCCGCGGCGGAGTTCAGAGACCCGCCAGTGAAAGTCGATCGGTTAAATGATGACGATGCACACCTGTGCGTGAAGTTCCTATTCTGCCCGTGAGGTATCCTACGTATTTCCTCTTCGGTCAAATTTGTTTCATCTCTTTCGCTTCGCATCGATAATCGATTCTGTATAGTCCTAATTGTAATATAATATATGTGTCTAGCGGAATTTTATAAATATGGAATTGTCAGGGAAAAAGGTAAGGAAATTTTACTACTTATCTAACATACAATTTTTAATTTGCGTATAAAATAAAGACTATTTACAATTATATAATTAATTATAAAAAATAATAAATAATTATTTAAAAAGTTAAAATTAATAATTTATTTTTTTTACTATATTTATTTATTTGACTATTTACTATTTACTTTTTATTTTACTATTTTTTCACATTATTCTACATTTGTCTCAATAATTTGAAATGTTTTATTAAATAAATATAAACTTTTCCTTGACTCATTTCCTTGATTTCATGATTTAACATTTCATTGATTTATCATATAGATATATGCAAATTATATATTTGCAAAAATAATACTAAAAAGTCAGGGAAAAAATTAATTTCTGATCTTGGAAAATCTGAAAAAATCAGGGAATTTTTTTCATTGCGTCTGCTGGACACTGTTAAAGCTTTTGCGCATTTGTGTGTGGAATAGAAATATTATTTCTTTGTATTTCTATCGTTGATATGCATCCCTTGTTTTTACGAATTAAATTTTCGTAGTTGAAAATATTTTTGCATTAAATTTTCGAGATGAGTTTCAAGAAGGATCACTATATGTAATAAAGGAATTGTAAAAAAGCCAAGTTTTAAAACTATTTGCGATTTTTTAAATTATATACATATATATTAAAAATATCTGAGAGATACTGTTCAAAATAATTTTCATGAAATCCAAGAATCTAGAAATACGAATATTTTATTATAAAATATTAACTTTCACTTTTTGAGAATTCTGGGCTAACAGTGACGGAAGTGGCAAGGATATATCTCTCAGAATAAATAAATACTTCCTATACCGCCTGAATAATTATTGAATAAGAATTAAGAAATCTATGAAAATGCAAATGTATAAATTAGGATAAGAATAAAAATATTTGAAAGCATTATCTTTTGCTCTTTAAAGTTTTTGACAACAAATAACGATGAGAGAAAAGACAGCAAAGTATTTTTAATCAAATAAATATTTTTCAAATAAGTATTTAATTATGCTAATTTTTATGACATAAGGTAATTAGTTAAAAGTTAAAAAAAGTTAAAAAGTTAATAACTTTTAACTTAGTTAATTTCAAATGTATTAATTTTTAACTTTAACTAGTTATTTTTGACCTTAAACTTATTAACTTTTTTTATAAGTTATAAACGTATTAAGTATTATTAATTTTTATGTTTATTTGTCATCAATTGTAATTACCAAAAAATATGTTTCTATATAAAAATCAAAATTTCTTTGTTATTTGTTATGATAAATTTTAAAAGAATTAACAAACAAAATTCTAATTTAATATAAATGTTCTTAAAAATTAACTTTTGATTTAACATTAATTAATTTAATCTCAACTTAACTTTAACTGAGTTAACTCTTTATTCGAACAACTTTTAACTTAAATTAATTTTATAAACAATTCACTTTAACTTAAGTTATTGTTAAAAAAATCATTAACTTACCCAACCTTGCAAAGTAGTCGTAATATTATATTTCATAAATAACAACGTCAATATATCTTGCGTGGTAGAACGAATCCCTCAAACTTTTCAGAACAACATTTCTGAACGTTTGACATTAATGGAGACTTATATCGGAGTTAAATCAATTTTCCGAAAGAATCGATTGAATTTTAATTTCTCACGTTAGACCTTGTGAACACTGCCACGAGTAATATGGATCAGTGGGTAAGTGTGGCCCGTAGTAACGCGTAAAACGCGAAGAGAAAGAGAGAAATTGCAGTTCTCTTGAATGCAATACGTGACTAATACGGCGTATTATCGCAGCTCGCTCGTTTATCGCGGTCGAATGAATTGCGTATACATAGGTCAATTTTGAGTTCCGTCCTCTCTCCAAAATTATAATCGTCGATCAATGATTTAGCATGCGTCATCATTTCGCGCAACGGTATAGGGTAAACTCGGATACGAAAAAA